CGGGGGGTCCCCCCCCCCCGGGGGTGGGGCGCGGGGGGGGGCTGCGCGCGGGCCCCGCCGTGCTGCGGCCTCCCCCCTCCCGCAGCAGCGAGGCCGCGGGCAGAGCCCCCCGCAGCCGCCCGCTCCAGCAGTGGCGCAGGGCAGCGCTGCCGTGGCGCCTTGCGCCGTCGCTGTCCGTGCTGTGGCAGCGCCCGCAGCCCTCGGCAATGAATTCGCCTTTGTGTGCTGGATGCGGTGTGGTCTAAAAGCGAGGGGGAAGGAGGTGGCGGGGCCGTAGTTCTTGCTTTGTGGCAGTTTCTGATGGTTCCTAAGAAAATGAGAGAGAGGTTGTCAGCTACATCAGGACCTTCGGGGAATCCCTGCTCTAAAAAGCAGTTTTAGTGCACCTCTGAGAAATGAAGTAACAGCCTTTTGATTTTGCATGCGCTTCTCTCCCCCGCTCCCCATTCCCAAGACCCATTGGTTCAAAAGATGCCAGTGGTAACGGTTGTAACTATTGGCCAAACTGCGTTGTTTGGAGATACTTCTGTGGCTGTTGTCCTCTCAAGCATCAACAGTACCGAGGAACAGATGGACGGTCCAGTTTGAGAGGGGGGTGTGTAAAAATGTCAAGCCTCGTCCGATTTCTCCAGCATCTTTTCCATACGTCTCTGCTGGCAGGCCGCTTCCCAGCTACTTTGAGAGCAGTGTTTCATTCCCTTTTCCAAGGGATGGCGTTATTCAGTAGGGGTGGGTCGGATTATGACCATTTGGCCTCTGAAAGCCCCTCTCCGAAGGGGCTGCTCCTGCTTTCTGCCCCACAGGATGATCATCTTTGCTTGGCACTTCATCGAACTGGTGTGCCAACCTGCATCCTTACTCATTCTCTGAATCTTCGAAATAGTGACAGTTCAGACGAAACTAATGGATTTTTCCCTTCAATTCTGCGGTCATATACTATTAACCTGGAAATTCCCATTGGAGAGAAAAAATAAATGCCGGTTTTGCAACATAAATTCATTGCCACAGCAGAGCTAAGGTGTACAGTTAGTTTTGTCTGACCAGAAACCTACTGAAATTCTGCCAGGTGCAGACACCTCTCTGCATGAGAGCCATTTAAGCAGCACTGGTAAGTTACTAACAGTAGAAGTGAACTGCTGAGGGAGGTAGGAACCCGGGTTGTGGACTTTCCTCTGTCACGGACTTGGAGTAGGACCTCCAGCAAGTCACAGAGGAGTCTTCCCCACTGCGAAATGGGAGAGTGACCTCTTCTTGAAACAGACCGAGATCTGCACATTGGAAGATGGATATGAAAAGCAAGAATAGTTAAAATGACAGCAGGCTCTTAGATCTGTTAGCAGACAGCGTATTCTACTGTTGGAGACAGCTATCCTCTTGATTCAGGTAGTTCAAGAAATGTGGAAATGGTACATACATGATGATTCCCGTTGCTGAAGTGGGTTTGTGTGAGGGTAGAACACTGCTGGAGAGGGTTTGTGTGAGGGTAGAACAGGCTGCTGAGCAAAAGGTTTGATTTGAAACAAAGCAAACAAAGCAGTGTAAATAACAACGCTTCTGCCCTTCAGAAAAACGTTTTTCTGCAACTTGCTAAGTACAGTAAGGGGCTTATAGCCCTGATAACAATCAGATTAACAAAACTGGCAAATCAAAGTCCTAAGTGTTACATGCTATACATCTAGATAGGGTTTTCTGAAGGATGAAAAAGCTAGGGTTTGGTTTGTGTCTTTGTTCTGCTGGCTGTGGCACCCTGTCTGCGCAAAAAAAAAAACCCAACCAAACCACCACAAAGGTTTTCTCAGTGAATAAATCTCTTGCTCTGGCTGATCCAACAAGTGCGCTTTCCTAGGCTTCTTCCTATGCTTTGGTTCGGGAGAATGGAACGGTGAATATAGGACATGATGGGAACGTGCTGGTTTCCATGTGTGGGGCTGTTTAGGCAATGGCGTTGTGTATCTGTGGGGTGCTTGAACGACACTTATTCTAACATGCTGTCTAATAAATACTGGTCTCATTTTTCTGTTCCTGTGTGACTTCTGTCCAGTTTTGAAACACTCTCTGGAAGACTAGGTCTGGTATCAGGGGGAAATGCCAAATCTCATAAGCCGGTTACCTCAGCAAGGAATGGGAAAGTTCAAAGAGCATAAGGAAAGGGATGGAAAGCTTGGATGGAAAGGGATGGAAAGTCACACGGCACCTTACTGAAACCGTGCATGTGCAAAGAGCACGCCTATTTAGAAACCTTATTACGGTGTAGTCTGCACTCCTGTGTCAGGAGGCAGAGGGTCCTCATCAGCAAGGACAATGTTCTGGCTCCTGTGCCAGGGGATGATAAATTGAAACTCTGGCAAGTGGGGAGAGCTTAGGAGTAACTTCAGGGTACCTGGAGGGGAAAAATGTTGAATAAATTGTGGCAAGTAGGATGATGAGCGAGATGATGATTTCACTGTTCCCTTTCCTTGCTCTGAAAGAAGATCTCTCCTTGCTGCATCCTGGAGGATGTAGCAGTACTTCAAATAGCATTTATTGCTGCAGTAGGACACCATGACAGTGACACAGCAGCTAGAGTCAGCAGGATTTGCCCTGCAGAGTGCCACCTTGTTCCCGTCCAGGTCAGAATGCTCAAATGCTCATCAGGACTGCACTAAGATGCACTTGTATTGGACATTTGTTTAAACAATTGTGCTTTCCAAGAGTATGGCATAGGAAAACACTTCGTTCACCTTCTTGCTCCCTGTCTTTTATTACGTTTCATTTGTTCCTATCCCATGCCCAAACGGAAAGGAATACATGTTCTGTGACACCGAAGGTGGTGGTAAGTTGTTTGTTTGGTTTTTTTCTCTTTTTTCCCCTGATGTTCGTAGGGTTTACTGAGGGTTTTTTGTGCACTCTGCAGTGCGGACTGTAAGGTAATAAATAAGCTATATTACTCTACTGTGTCAGCTGTCACCAGAAAAAGAAACCAAGAACAAAGGTTTTTTTGAGCTGCTGTAGATTCTACAGGCCTTGAGACTACTGAACTGTGTCATGCCATGATTACTAACTCTGTCTTGGTTACGTGTAGAAAGCTGGAGCTTGTATCCTAGAAGATCCTGTTTCCCACCAGTGGCCAGCAGAAGCTGTTGCACAACGTGGGGTTACTGTGCTGGAGAACTGGAACTGCAGCAACTGGAAATATCTCCATGAAAAAAATCAACATGCCTCACTTGAAAGAAGGCAGATACCAGATGCAATAAAACTTTATACTTTATGCAAGAGAGGCCATGTGTCCAGAAGATGGTGGAAGAACTCTCAGTGAGGACCCCATCAATAAACACTGGGGCTGAAACTCTTGTTTCAGTTAACTTAGAAGTCTGTGGCATTGGCCTTCAACATCTGTACTTCAGCAGGCAGCAGCACAAGAGGCTGGAGTAGTGATTCATGCTGATATCCTGGTTTTGTTCGTGGTGCCAAAGTGTAGTATCACACCATCTAGGAGAGGCTGCTCCTTACCGGGATGTGAAGATCTCTGATCTGTAGCGTTTGGTGTCATCCAGAATGTACAACGGCTCACACTGAGGTCTGAAGGTGACTTCCCCGGCATGGCATGGTGCCACTTGCTCTGGGAGCAGATGCTGCTTCCTGCTGTGCTATGCAGGCGATTAGCTTACAAAGATTACATAGATTAAAGAGCAAACTCAGAGGGTCTCAGTGGGATCAGGAGCTTTGAAGGAGTGATTAGGCAGAGCGAGTTGTGGGGGGGCTTCTGTGACTTGGAGGATGCGCAGGCTGTAAGAGCAGAGAAGCTGATGTCTCCGAGTTGTTTAGTTGTTTAACCACCCAGTAGACAATCTCTACTAGTGACCAATGCTGGATAATGCAGAAGATGTAAAACTAACATAACCTGTTTGCTTGGTTAGGCAGTAGTGTAATTTATTTAGCCATGATCCCTCGTAGCTTGTAGTTTCACTTGTGTGAAGCCCAAGGTGAATGAAGTCTTGCTCACTGCCTGTACTTCAGGGAGAGGTGTTTTATGGAAGGTGAGCATCTCATGGCCCTCTGCTGCTGAAGACTTTCTCTGTTCTAAGTATGCTCTTTTAGAAGAGTATCACTGCTCCTCATGTGTCCTGTTAAGTTCTCCATCTCCACTTCTGCTTCTGGAGTAAAGCTCACTATTCCTTTTTTTTTTTTTGGACAGGAATCCGATCCTGGAACATTGACATTCTGTCCTGCGACCTGAATCAGCAACTGCAACTCTTTGTAACGAGACACCTGGCTCAGTTTTCTTCAGAAGTCAAAGGTCAGCTTTTTGGTTTATCAGCATTAACTTTTAACTCTTCTTTGGGGTTTAAAAAAAAATACAAAATAAAGCTGACGATTGTGATTCAGAATGTCAAGTTCAATTAGTGAGTTTTTTGCCCAGGATTCTGCAGACACGAATACTAAAGAAGAACCATCTTAAGGATCTGTTGGATGCAAGGAATTTAACTTAAAATTACATATCTTACTACTGAGAATAGAGTGAATAGAAACAAGTGCTGTTTAAAAGCCTATTAAGCTAGTAAGTTAGAATTTGTCTATCTGACTTCTGTACCTTATTCAGGTGGCACAATATAGTTTTACTTCATAAGCTATTTATTATCTATCTCCTCCTTTTGGGTTTTAGAATATACTTTTGTATGCATAAAATGTGTTGCAAGGGGTGTGTAAGACTAGTCAAATGACTTTCTGAATCCCTTTTTTGAAGGCCTATCTCCCTTTCATGAGAAGAACAATGAGTAAAAGTGCTATAAAAACGTTTATGCAGGTGTAGCTCTTGCAGTGTAGGACATTTCCCAGATACTGTTACCTCTTCCAAAGCGATATGCCAAATAAGCTATTTTCTATCAAATTTAGTAGACTAATCTGAGGGAGCCTGCTCTTCTATATGCTGTGAAAGTAACTCCTGGCATGAATTGCTAACCCCATTTAGCATGAACAGCGCTACTGTAGCTGCGATGAGTTAATTGCAACTTAGGCAACAGCTACAGGAGTGCTAATGCTGTTGATCAGTTGGAGCAGGACAAGCAAGTTTTGAGTGACATACTGTCTAAAAAGGCTGGGTTTTCTGTCCTAACTTACACCTTTTATTTACACTGAGATCCCCCAAACAGACAAGCCTCTCAGCCCCTTAGCAGGTCTTGCCTTCGTGCTTGAGTTTGTCCTGGGGGTCTGTTGAGTAAAGGTATCCTTATGCCTCAGGATGGTTTGTGGCTATTCAGACACGTCTGTCTCAGATGTGCTTGTTGTCTGGAAGATGATGCCGGCAGCTTGCATAACAGAAGTAATGTCTTCAGTAGTTGAAGAGCTTTGGAAGCTGCCTGGCGGAAAAGAGTCAGGGAGAGAAGTGGGTGGTGGTCAGATTCTTTTCCCTAGGAAAAGACAGTGTGACTTAGAGCTATCGCAGGCTCTCTGCTAGCGGTGGCTAGTACTACTAAAATCTCTTAGCATGCTGCTTTTCGATATTGTGGTATCACTAAGGATGATAATCATATTAAACAGTATGGGATGACTCTCTTTGTAGGGCAAACTCATCTCAGCTCATCTGATTTCACTAAGGGAGTTGAAATTGTCCATAGAGACTTGATCCTGAATTGGAGGCTTGCAGCCTAACGTGGTACTAGATATGCTGGCACTCCATTGTACCCTGAGATAATACCCTTTGGAAGATAGCTGCGGTCTTAAACAAATGCTCTTTTAGCTATGCTGCTTCCACTTGAGCAGCTATTCTATACTGATTACTTTCATGGTTAAGAATCTTTAATTTATTTTTTAACTTGTGTTGCAACTTGCTGCAAATTCATTGCTGCATATCCTGTAACAGCCCTGTGAAGATGTGTGTTCATCGCCATTCTGCTCCAGATGGATGTACCTAAAACTAGAGACTCTCTAACAGTAGGAGCTGTTCAGCTCTACACTGTACACACCCTCTTGTTCCTGCTGTGGGTATAGAGAAGAGTGGCTGCAACTGATTTTCCTCTTATTCCTCAAGTATTCATAGCTTGGTGGTAGCTCCTCTGAGCAGAAGGCCGTACTAGAGATCTCCTGAAATCCCTTCCAGTTAATGCTTTTATGATTCCATACTATTTGAAAGATCCCAGTCTTGCGTGTGTGAGGGACGTCTGCCTCCACACTGGTGTGCTTAGCAGTGTCTCTGGAGGGCAAAACTATTCCTTTCAGAAGTATGTGCATTAACCTCAGAATATTGTTCCCTTAACGGTTGATGTTTGTGCTCTGTGATCAGGGAAAAGTCAGCTGGAGTGCAACAGCTACTGTAAAGCCAGAGTAGTTCTTTGACCTTCTATTTAATGCAGAAAGCTTCTCACTCTACAGACTTGTAACAACCAGTAAAAGTTTGACACCACTGGCAAGAAACAAAAGATGAAGGCTGGTAATACGGTATGAATAAGTAAAGCAGTCTACCTAACAGAATATTCCAAGACTTTCCTGTCTGCAGTTTCTCACTTGGTTACAGTAGTTATTTCCAAACTGTATTTGTATTATGTTAATGCTTAGTGTTTGAAGCTGAAATCAAAATTTAACTGCAGTATTCTGTGGGAACAGAGAGGGCACAGTTATCCCTCTGATAGGGATGGGATCTGTTTAGAGATGATGAGGAACAAATGAGTCTCAAATGTGGTACAAATGAGAGGAGAGCTGAGGACGGAGCTGGTAATGGTGAGGTGGTCATACAAGAGATGCCTAATGCACCTTATGAAAGTTGATTTTTTTTTTTGTGGGTTTTGAGTTTCTTTTTTTCTAGACTAACTTGCTGGCTCTTTTCTGACTATCACAAACAACATGACTCTTGCTGTAGGGGCAATCTCGCAGCATAGTTTACAGGGTATGGATGGCAGGGACAGCAAGAAGCTAAGCATGGATGTGATGATGACCTGCCCAAAGGGAAAAGGGGTAGTCCTGGATGGCAGCAGCAGGACAGAAAAAGGTAGGAACAACTATGGAAGACCTTGCATGACAAACTTTGTATGTGCTATGGAGAGTCTGGAAGGCAGTAAATGGTCTGAAGGAGGGAGAGGGTGATGTGATGAGGAAAAATGAAGAGAAGCGTCTAACCAATTCAAGGTGAAATACTGAAGGCTTGTGTGCCCCTGTGTGGGGAGGGCAGCCCCAGGTGCCGTTTGCACAGCCTTCGGTTGCCGCTGGCTGCCACAGCAGCTTCAGATCATGTACAGGAACTCCTTGGGCTGGACGTTAATGTTCTTTACAGCTGAGAGGGACTGTCTCTTTCCAAGACAAACTGACATGGTGCAAGGTGAAAAGCTCAAAATAATTACTTCTCAGCACAAGGGAAGTATGCTTTCTAATATCTGTTGGTTTTGATGTTCAGAGAAAACAGCTGCTTCTTCTGAAAACAGTTGTCTCTACACAAATATTAGCAGCTGCTTTCAGTCCGACTAGGGGATTTTAAATAGCTCAGCAGCCATCCCAGTGATCTTGCCTCTCAGACTGTACTTTGTGTTAGTCTTCAGAAACTTCTTATAAATAGCTAATGACATAATTGAAAATCAAGCAATTAAGAACAACATTCACGTTGAATTTAATGGAACAAATGCTTGAAATAATGAAACACAGATACTTTTCTTGCCTTATCTGTAAAAGGATTATCAGAAATATTAAACACTTTCAAATATTAGCTTGCGTGTTTCTTTGCAAACTTAATGTTTTATGCTGAAAGCCAGCAGGGTTTGTGTAACAGTCTAATAACTAGCTGCCTTGCAGGCAGGTGGCCTTCAGGCTCTGAAGTCTTTCATATTTGGCCTAATACACATGCTTCACATCCTACTGATGCCTTCGTTTTACATTCAATGCCAATTGAGGATACAGATATATCTGCCACAGCCCACTGTGGCAAAGTTGCATTATAGTTCCTGAAGGTGTCTGTCTTTGTGGATGAGTACTCCTAGAATGCTACTAACTCGAGCTAGGGGAAGAAGAATCTGGTTTTACTGCTTCTCTAGAACTTATGGGCAGCTACAAAGAGGATGGAGGCTTTCTCCTCACAAGGGGCAAGGAGCGCAAGTTGCATTGGGAGAGGTTTCAACTCAAGGTAAGAAAGAAATTTTTTACTGTGAGGACAATCAGTCACAGGAACAACCTCCCCAGGGACGTGGTAGAGTCCCCGTCACTGGAGGTTTTCAAAATGGGATTGGACGGGGTGCTAGATAATATCATCTGTGTTCCTTTTCTCATGAAAAGTTGGGCCAGATGATCTTTTGAGGTCCCTTCCAACCTGGGCTGTCCTGTGCTTCTATGAATTCAACTTTGCAACAGTTAAAGAACAAGAGTTTTTACTAGTGGCACAAATCAGGTTGTGATAAGTTACAAACCTGTTAAGAAGCAAAGGCAAATGCATGAGTCCACTATGCACCTCTTAGTCTCAAAGTCTGCATTTATCCTTCTTTTGCATTAATATCTCATAGGTTAATGTTTTTACTTGGACAAGTGACTCATCTTCTTCATGGAACTTGGAGTGGCTTTGAGTGTCAGCTTGTGCCACATACTTTTTTCTACTAGGCTGCTTAGTTAGTTTTCAGTGATCCATCTCAAGCGCATGACAGTAAAAAAAGCTGCCTTGTTTATTCAAATTAGAGCTCCCAGATAGTACAGATGACAAGTTTGTGTGGTCAAGCAAAAGCTGTTCTAGACAAGAGGCAAAAGACCAATTGCTTGTGAAAATTATATTACAGTGAAAGTGTATGTTCCCCACAGCGGTGGCCTCTTGCTAAAGAGCCTTCTGTAACATAGATCATCCAGTGATGGATTTTGTTCAGCTCTTGGCTGTTAGTAAAAGGACTACTATGTCCTAAATCTGCATGTTTAGGTAGTAAAAAAGTCAGTGGTTAAGATTTTTTTTTTCACAGATGCAATAATGATTCTTTGGACTTTTAGATGTGGCTTCTAGTCCTTGAGCAATTAACTTTCCTGCACCATTTGTTTGCCCACATGCTTCTGACCAGAGAAATATAAAAACAAGCACTTGTCAGCTTCTGTGCTTCTTCCTTATGTGCTTGAGGGCTGTATAGTAACCACACTGAGCATGACCTCAAAGATCCCATGAGTTGCGGTCTCCCAAAATACAGTTTCCCATGCTGGAAGTGCAGCCCATGTTTCTTGTTGCTACATGCGACCACAGCAGTCCCAAGCATTGCTCTTTTCAGCTGACTTCTGTCACAAACAGCTTTAGCTTCTTCTCCCAGATGACCGGTAAAGAATATCTCTGGGGGACTTGCAAGCACCACC